TTTGCCAACGCTGATTGGGAATTTGCGAGCGTACGAATCGATAATAATTGATTCGAGATTACCAAACCGGTCGCGTTTCAACGGACCCCCCGCGGCTCGTGATTGGGGAACAGATGCGCTCTACGATCGAGCGCCCGGAAAAAATGGTCCAGTCATTTTTTTCTTCTTTATCCTTCGCTTTTTTTTTCAACGATCGCCGAGCTATTTGGAACGCTTTAATTGGAGCAGCTAACTTACCTTTCCACCTCTCCCTATTCCTCCGCTTTTTTCGCAGGAAGTTCTTTGTCCAACGGGTTTCGTCATTGACGAGTTGTCGATCTGAAATGTACAAGGGAGGCTCCGTTACTTCTAGAGATAATTCACGATTTTGTTATGTGTTTTCTAATTTGGGAATATTATGACGATTGTTCGAACGGAATGGGTGGTATTAATATAGGTTTTGAAATAATGTTGAATCTTTATTGTAGTAAATGGAATTAAAAGTGTTAGATTCAATGTTTATTGCGTTGTAAATATAATATTGTGAATATTATACTATATAATGTAATGTGTATGTAAATTTGAATAAATATATGATTTATGCGTGATTTTATAAGCAATAGGGAAAATTCCAGGTTTAAAGGGAGGAATTTATTTACGGACTTCAAATAATTTTATTTTCATATAGAACATTCTTGTTTTTCATGGAACAACGTTGGAAATGTTTATAAAATGTTGCTCCAATTTGTTTCTCGTGTACTGATGGATTGTAGAAAGAGTTAAACAGTTTGTTGTGTAATTCGAAATGGGGGAAATTCCATAGAGTACAAAATGTTGAACATGTAAATCGACATTTTTTCATATCAGCTCATGATTTTCATGAAATTTGCGTTGGAACTTTATCGTGTACCCCGGGCTCCATTCGGTTCACGTGTCTGGCCATTATTGGATATTTCCACTTGATTTAATGTTTATAAACAGTGTCGGCGATACGATAGTATTTATTTTCCGGAACAATTCGGTATGAACTGATAGAAGATACTGAGCCCGCTGGCAAATTGACAAAACTGTACCAACGACAAGCAGAATTAGAAAACAACAAATATACCAGATATAATGTAATAGCGTTCGAAACGATATTCGGGAAAGTTTCGATTCGATATTTTCTATAAATATAATCTCACATAGAAACAATGTTATTCTATGTTTCTCATTTATTTTTGCGTACAAGGTTATTGTTGATTATTCTCTATTACGATCGTTTATAAACTATTAGCATTTATAAAATAGAAAATCTTTATAAATTCAAATGTTCAGAATGAAAAATGTCTCGATAGCGATTCGACAAATACGTCAAGTGTGAGTGATTTACAACATTTTATTCACACCCCACTCTGAATCGATAACACATTTATCAAATCGTGTCTCGATGAATTTTATAATAACGGAATATATTCATCCTTGATTTTCTGAATAAAACCTGTTTAATAGAATTAATGGAAATTTAAAATAAATGTGATATAAATATATTTTATTGCTGATTGACTGAAATCGTTCATAAAAATGAAATTTTTAAAAATTTCCTTTCTGCCAATATTAGTTGCTTTTACACTTCTGTGAAAATATGTATTTAAAAGAACTATCCCAGTATAATTATTACAATTCATATTTCATTCCCAAAAAGATAAACTCATTATTAACTCCCAACAAAAAATTGTAATCCATTCTACAACCAACAATAACAAACATATTACAAATCAATCAAAACTTCCTCAAACTCCCCCAACCCAATTATTAAAATCCCCATGT